ATAATAGTAGAGAGAATGATTTATTTCAGCTTTTATTTCTTTCATCACATTCCCAGAGGGTCAGAAGTTTGCATACACGCAATTAGTATTTGGTTGCATTGCCTTTAAATTGTTTAACTTGGGTCAAACGTTTCAGGTAGCCTTCCACAAGCTTCCCACAATAAGTTGGGTGAATTTTGGCCCATTCCTCCTGACAGAGCTGGTGTAACTGAGTCAGGTTTGAAGGCCTCCTTGCTCGCACACGTTTTTTCAGTTCTGCCCACACATTTTCTATAGGATTGAGGTCAGGGCTTTGTGATGGCCACTCCAATACTTTGTTGTCCTTAAACCATTTTGCCACAACTTTGGAAGTATGCTTGAGGTAATTGTCCATTTGGAAGACCCATTTGCGACCAAGCTTTAACTTCCTGACTGATGTCTTGAGATATTGCTTCAATATATCCACATAATTGTCTTTCCTCATGATGCCATCTATTTTGTGAAGTGCACCAATCCCTCCTGCAGCAAAGCACCCCCACAGCATGATGCTGCCACCCCCGTGCTTCACGGTTGGGATGGTGTTCTTCGGCTTGCAAGTCCCCCCTTTTTCCTCCAAACATAACGATGGTCATTATGGCCAAACAGTTATATTTTTGTTTCATCAGACTAGAGGACATTTCTCCAAAAAGTACCCATGTGCAGTTGCAAACCGTAGTCTGGCTTTTTTATGGCGGTTTTGGAGCAGTGGCTTCTTCCTTGCTGAGCGGCCTTTCAGGTTATGTCAATATAGAACTCGTTTTACTGTGGATATAGATACTTTTGTACCTGTTTCCTCCAGCATCTTCACAAGGTCCTTTGCTGTTGTCCTGGGATTGATTTGCACTTTTCGCACCAAAGTACGTTCATCTCTAGGAGACAGAACGCGTCTCCTTCCTGAGCGGTATGACGGCTGCGTGGTCCCATGGTGTTTATACTTGTGTACTATTGTTTGTACAGATGAACGTGGTACCTTCAGGCGTTTGGAAACCAATTTTTTTTCTGAGGTCTTGGCTGATTTCTTTTGATTTTCCCATGATGTCAAGCAAAGAGGCACTGAGTTTGAAGGTAGGCCTTGAAATACATCCACAGGTACACCTCCAATTGACTCAAATGATGTCAATTAGCCTATCAGAAGCTTCTAAAGCCATGACATCATTTTCTAGAATTTTCCAAGCTGTTTAAAGGCACAGTCAAACTAACTGTATGTAAACTTCTGACCCACTGGAATTGTGATACAGTGAATTATAAGTGAAATAATCTGTCTGTAAACAATTGTTGGAAAAATTACTTGTGTCATGCACAAAGTAGATGTCCTAATCGACTTGCCAAAAAATATAGTTTGTTAACAAGAAATGTGTGTAGTGGTTGAAAAACGAGTTTTAATGACTCCAACCTAAGTGTATGTAAACTTCCGACTTCAACTGTATACAGGTAACTGCCAAAATAAAGGAAACACTTGAGTAAATGAGGGATACAAAGAATATTGAAAGCAGGTCCTTCCACACAGGTGTGGTTCCTGAGTTAATTAAGCAATTAACATCCCATCATACTAAAGTTCATTTATAGAAATGCCCAGTTGCCCAGTTACCCAATATTTTGGCTACCATGCCTAGAAGAAGAGATCTCAGTGACTATGAAAGAGGGGTCTCAAAGGAGCATAGGGGATATAAAGGGTGTGTGTGTGTGTGTGTGTGTGTGTGTGTGTGTGTGTGTCTGTCTGTCTGTCTGTCTCAGTCACAGGTTGACGTTTATTTTAATGAGTCTTGCCCTGGAGGCAGAACTAAGCAGTTTCTGCAAGATGGGCCAGCTGCAAAGTCAAAATTGGTTATATCATAACATTTCATGAAAACAAAAATGTGCTTTTTGGTCTTAATTTAAGGTTAGGGGTAGGCATTAAGGTTAGCAGTGTGGTTAGGGTTAGTTTTAAAATCAAGTTTTATGACTTTGTGGCTGTGCCAGCTAGTGACCACTCTGCAGAGCTGCCTCCAGGGTAAGACTCATGACAATAAATGCCAACCTGCATCTCAGTCACCAGATTCCAACCCAATTGAACACTTATGGGAGATTCTGGAGTGGCACCTGAGACAGCGTTTTCCACCACAATCAACAAAACACCAAATGATGGAATTTCTTGTGGAAGAATGGTGTCGCATCCCTCCAATAAGAGTTACAGACACTTGTAGAATCTATGCCAAGGTGCATTGAAGCTGTTCTGGTGGCCCAATTCCCTATTAACACCAGAACCGCCATAGGCCAATGACCACTGACGTTTGATTTAGTAAATATAAAAAAATCTGCCCCCCAAAAAAGCTGTCCTGCTCCTTCCCTGACTTTCCCTAAATGTTTGTATTTTACATTGCTCATTTGTCAGAATTTCGAAATCACAAACAAAGTATTTAGAGCCTTTTTACCTGTTTTGTTTTTCACACCTATTCCCAACTTAACCCGCCAAAACAATCTGCTGTAGGACGTTGGTACCCAGCCAGGCACTAATACGTCTCTCTCTTCTCTCTGAATGAATGACAAATGCATGAATGGGCGATAATTGTGCACCTTACTTCACAATTGAATTTAAATTAGGCCTAACTGAATGATAAGGAGGGTGACGAGGTTGATTTAATTTAGAAAGACAATAGTGTAATGATGAATTTGTGTTATGCCTTTTTATCAGCAGCACATCATTTGATGCTCCTTGGGGATTGATCCATTCTCTTTAACGTTTTACTTTGTAAACAGAATCTTTTAAAGGACTGTTTTATTTATAATATAATAATATACTGTAACTCTATTACTAATAAAATGTATTGTAAGGAAAACGAATGCTATGTGTTGCAGTAGACCTTTAGAATAATGCAAAACAATATCCTTGACTCTATCCAACTTGATGAGTAGGAAACAAACAATGACAGACAGCCTGCACAGCCGGCCCATCGAAACTACACCTAAACTATACCCAAACTAATTTCACACATAATAAGAGTTAGCCTATCGACAAGATTAAATTGACAGTAATCTGATGAGTGACAATATTAGGCCTATCAGTTGTCAAATTGCACATGAAGAGATGGGTGCATCTTGTAATTGACAGATGCAGGGAAAGGATCATCACTTTATCAAATCCTCCTTCAGAGTCACATACAGGTAAAACATTTTGATTTCTATATAGTATCAGAAAGAGCATATTCTGCAGTTTCTATTACACTTACCTTTGTCAAATAACTTTCATAATTCCAAAGGTGCAGCTCTATTTCAAAATTTCACTTTTTCCAAGAATATGTGTGCTGTCCATGCATTCAGCACATGACCACTTGCGCAGCAGCATTGCTCTGGCTACTAAGCAAAAACGAGTAACATAATAAACTTAAAATAAAAATATGCTATTTATTTATGCAATTCATCCTTTACAATTGTTCATGCAGTGGTGCTTTTGTTTAGGAATACAGCAAATAATTTCACCTGTGCACCTGGCTGGTTATATTATTATAATATTTTTCCTTTCTACTTTGTCAAAAGAAGCTGTAACTGGACTTTATTAATTACTATAACTCTTACTAATCGAATCTACAAATAAAGTTGATCAATTGGATTACACTGTCATGTTTTTATTATAAGGGAAACTAAAATAGGCTATAGGCCTACGTATTGCTAGGACTTTGTAGAATTATACAAAACATATCCTTGACTCTCTAAACAAAAAACGTTTTTATTTATTGATATATTTCCACAAATATTTCACCATCCAATGAATCCTTTATAATAGTTGATGCACTATTTATCAAGCGTTGTTGCTTATGTTTGCTGCACCTTGCAGGTTGATATGCATCTGATGCATATGGTAAAGGGGACGCCCGATAACGTTCTCTAGCTGGTACTTATAGGCTGAAAGGCCAGGCGGTTCTAGTGTTAAAACACTTTATGTTGCTGTTTCCTTTATTTTGGCAGTTACCTGTCCATTGCATGTCTCCATCACTGCACTCGTTGATAGTTTCCTGACCCCTCCATCCTCTCTCTAAATGTAATCCAGACAAATGCATTTGCGGTCAAGCAGATGGAGCGTAAAATGGCTTTGCATCAGACCCAAACTACTAAGTGGAAATGTTTTTATTTTATTCCCAGTATTCTGTATGTTTGTATTTTATATGTAATGTATGATTGTGTTTGTTATTTTCATATTTCATACTGGCTCCCCCTCCCTTTCCTCCCTCTCATCTAACAGAATATTTGGAAGGCGCTGGAAGCTCAGCGCCACGCTGTGCTTATCTTTCCCCTCGCATGCCGCCCACTGTGTTTGGATGATTATTTGCTCCCTCTGCGCACCTTGCCGCTCCACGCCCATTGTGGTGGTCGTTTAATTTCGATAAGGCATTGTGGGGGCTAATATAGAGGGGAAAGTTAAACTGCAAGCCCAGGCAGCAGCGCGGACGGATGGACCGCGAAGGGTAAATTGTTATTTCACCACTACGAATGGAGAGGGATTTGAGCAGGTGGAATGGGTTCTAAAAAAACTGAGAGAAATATTGAGGAATGAAAAATGAAGGGGAGGTGAGGCGGAGAGACCGAGAGAGAAAGTTTGGCTTATCAGGGCTTGGCAGTGGCGCTTGTGCATACAAGGGATAGCCCTGGCACTTTTTGTTCCTGACGTCCTGCTGGGGTTTAAGTGATATCGGCTGTCACAGGGTCAGGGGTGCGAGTGTTTTCCCTAAGGCCATTTCCCCAAATCCCTGAAAGAACAGAAAGATAGAGATGGTTCCAGAATCGGAAACCTGTTAAAAAAAAGTTGCCGTAGTCGGCGGGCTATCTGTAGTTATTTTCTTCATGACTACACACCACAAGTCTGATGTCAGGCCCATATTTAATTTATGTCAGCGAGAGATGCTGACAAAGATCATTGTGTTCAGAACTGTGACTCTGTGTATTGCCCACTAATGCGTTGCTTCAAACATCAAGATGTTTGTCTTACAAGATCGCCAAGTGTTGGTCCAATGGACGTGGTTTACTACCCTACCCCGTTCACCAAGAAAGTGTTCCCCAGTGTTACTCTATAAAAAGACTCTCACACAACTCTTGCTGTCCTTTCAATAGCAGGAAACCGATTATCCATCCCACTTCTGATACCAGTGTAGTGAAGGTGGGAGATAGTCAGTAGCAGGGCTTGAACCAGAGACCCTTACAAGGCAAAGACACTACACTGTGTCATTAAGGAGGTCGTGCTTACATTTCAATTTGACTCATTCAACAAGGTAGAGAGAAAGAGTATTTTTTACAGCAAATGATTGTATCAAATGACTCATCTTATCCAGCAGACCGTTACATGTACTCTAGTCTCTCTCCTATTGGAGACCATTAGACTTAAAACATTTATTTCTCTGGAAGGTGACCTGGAGAGAGGAATATTGCGAAATAAAGCAAACACAAATTGCATTTCCTCCTCCCTGTCTGGCCTGGCACGACATGATGCCACCAGGGCAATTACAACCGCATAACGCTCTTTCAGTCTCTTAGCAGCTCAACTGTGTTTCACCACCATCATTAAAAACACACACAATGTCCTCGATAACGGTGTTCAGAGTGGCGGCATGCCGAGACACCTTTCCAGCTCTGAAAAACAACAGTTTCGACACACAATGTCCATTATATCTCTATTAATTCTCTCTCTACCCCTCATTTCCTCTCCACCTTCTCCTCCTCCTCATTTTCCTTGCAGGGGAGATCTGTGCATTTATGATCCACGGGCAGGAGGCCCCGTTCGAGGCGGTGGTCCTGAACAGGACGTCAGGGGAGGGGGTCCTGAGGGCCAAGGGCTCGGTGGACTGTGAGACCCAGAAGGAGTACACCTTCATCATCCAGGCCTACGACTGTGGGGCCGGGGCCAACGGGGCCAGCAGGAAGAAGTCACACAAGTAAGGAAGGAGTGTGTGTCGGGGAGGGGGGTTGGTGTGTGTTTCGGAGGGAGTGGGGATGTGTGTGTGTGTGTGTGTGTGTGTGTGTGTGTGTGTGTAGAATTAGGGTTAGGGTTATGTTAAGGGTTAGGATTAGGTTTAGGGGTTAGGGAAAATATAATTTTGAATGGGAATCAATTGTTTGGTCCCCACAAGGATAGTAAAACAAATGTGTGTGTGGCTGTATCTTTGTTTGTGTGAGATCGATTTTTGTAATAAAAAAAATCCATTATACAAGCAAACTGATATACACTGAGTATACAAAACATTAAGAACACCTGCTCTTTCCATGACATAGATTGACCAGGTGAATCCAGGTGAAAGCTATGATCCCTTATTGATGTCACTTGTTAAATCCATTTCAATCAGTGTAGATGAAGGGAGGAGACCGGTTAAAGAAGGATTATTTTTCAAATCAAATTTTATTTGTCACATGTGCCGAATTCAACATGTGTAGACCTTACAGTGAAATGCTTACTTACAAGCCCTAAACAACAGTGCAGTTTTAAGATAAATAAGTGTTAAGTAAACAATAGATAAATAAAAAATAAAAGCAGTAAAATAACAGTAAAAATAACAGTTGCGAGGCTATATACAGGGGGTACCGGTACAGAGTCAATGTGCGGGGGCACCGGTTAGTCGAGGTAATTGCGGTAATATGTACATTTAGGTATAGTTACAGTGAATATGCATAGATAGTAAACAGAGAGTAGCAGCAGCGTAAAAGGGGGGGTGGGGGTGGGGGGTGGGTGGGGGGGGGGGGGGACACACACACAATGTAAATAGTCCGGGTAGCCATTTGATTACCTGTTCAGGAGTCTTATAGCTTGGGGGTAGAAGCTGTTAAGAAGCCTTTTGGACCTAAACTTGGCGCTCCGGTACCGCTTGCTGTGCGTCTATGACTAGGGTGGCTGGAGTCTTTGACCATTTTTAGGGCCTTCCTCTGACACCACCTGGTATAGAGGACCTGGGTGGCAGGAAACCTGGCCCCAGTGATGTACTGGGCCGTACACACTACCCTATGTAGTGCCTTGCAGTCGGAGTCCAAGCAGTTGCCATACCAGGCAGTGATGCAACCAGTCAGGATGCTCTCGATGGTGCAGCTGTATAACTTTTTGAGGATCTGAGGACCCATGCCAAATCTTTTCAGTCTCCTGAGGGGGAATAGGCTTTGTCGTGCCCTCTTCACGACTGTCTTGGTGTGTTTGGACCATGATAGTTTGTTGGTGATGTGGACACCAAGGAACTTGAAGCTCTCAACCTGCTCCACTACAGCCCTGTCGATGAGAATGGGGGCGTACTCGGTCCTCTTCTTTTTCCTGTAGTCCACAATCATCTCCTTTGTCTTGATAACGTTGAGGAAGAGGTTGTTATCCTGGCACCACACGGCCAGGTCTCTGACCTCCTCCCTATAGGCTGTCTCATCGTTGACGGTGATCAGGCCTACTACCACTGTTAACTTAATGATTGTGTTAATGTCGTGCCTGGCCATGCAGTAACAGGGAGTACAGGAGGGGACTGAGCAAGCACCCCTGAGGGGCCCCCGTGTTGAGGATCAGCGTGGCAGATGTGTTGTTACCTACCCTTACAACCTGGGGGCGGTCCGTCAGGAAGTGTCCAGGATCCAGTTGCAGAGGGAGGTGTTTAGTCCCAGGGTCCTTAGTGATGAGCTTTGAGGAAACTATGGTGTTGAACGCTGAGCTGTAGTCAATGAATAGCATTCTCACGTAGGTGTTCCTTTTATCCAGGTGGGAAAGGGCAGTGTGGAGTGCAATAGAGATTGCATCATCTGTGGATCTGTTGGGACGGTATGCAAATTGGTGTTGGTTTAGGGTTTCTGGGATAATGGTGTTGATGTGAGCCATGACCAGCCTTTCAAAGCACTTCATGGCTACAGACGTGAGTGCTACAGGTCTGTAGTCATTTAGGTAGGTTACCTTAGTGTTCTTGGGCACAGGGACTATGGTGGTCTGCTTGAAACATGTTGGTATTACAGACTCAGTCAGGGACAGGTTGAAAATGTCAGTGAAGACACTTGCAGGTTGGTCAGCGCATGCTCGGAGTACACGTCCTGGTAATCCGTCTGGCCCTGCGGCCTTGTGAATGTTGACCTGTATAAAGGTTTTACTCACATTGGCTACGGAGAGCGTGATCACACAGTCGTCCGGAACAGCTGATGCTCTCATGCATGCCTCAGTGTTGCTTGCCTCAAAGCGAGCATAGAAGTGATTTAGCTGGTAGGCTCGTCTCACTGGGCAGCTCGCAGCTGCTCTTCCCTTTGTAGTCTGTAATAGTTTGCAAGTCCTGCCACATCCGACGAGCGTCGGAGCCGGTGTAGTACGATTCAATCATAGTCCTGTATTGACGCTTTGCCTGTTTGATGGTTTGTCTGAGGGCATAGCGGGATTTCTTATAAGCGTCCAGGTTAGAGTTCCGCTCCTTGAAAGCGGCAGCTCTACCCTTTCGCTCAGTGTGGATGTTGCCTGTAATCCATGGCTTCTGGTTGGGGTATGTACGTACGGTCACTGTGGGGACGATGTCATCGATGCACTTATTGATGATGCCATTGGCTGATGTGGTGTACTCCTCAATGCCATCGGAAGAATCCCGGAACATATTCCAGTCTGTGCTAGCAAAACAGTCCTGTAGCTTAGCATCTGCGTCATCTGACCACTTCTTTATTGAACGATTCACTGGTGCTTCCTGCTTTAGTTTTTGCTTGTAAGCAGAAATCAGGAGGATAGAGTTATGGTCAGATTTGCCAAATGGAGGGCGTGGGAGAGCTTTGTACGTGTCTCTGTGTGTGGAGTAAAGGTGGTCTAGAGTTTTTTTCCCTCTGCTTGCACATTTAACATGCTGGTATAAATTGGGTAAAACAGATTTAAGTTTCCCTGTGTTAAAGTCCCCGGCCACTAGGAGCGCCGCCTCTGGATGAGCATTTTCCTGTTTGCTTATGGCCTTATACAGCTCATTGAGTGCAGTCTTAGTGCCATCATCGGTTTGTGGAGGTAAATAGACAGCTCAGAAAATATAGATTAAAACTCTCTTGGTAAATAGTGTGGTCTACAGTTTATCATGAGATACTCTACCTCAGGCCAGCAAAACCTTGAGACCTTGAGAATATTAGATTTTGTGCACCAGCTGTTGTTTACAAATATACACAGACCGCCACCCCTTGTCTTTTTTATGTCCCGTTGGTAGTATATTCTTGATCGTAGCTCGCCTATTTTATTATCCAATGATTGTACGTTGGCTAATAGGACTGATGGAAGAGGCAAATTACTCACTCTCCGTCGGATCCTTACAAGGTACCCCAACCTACGTCCTACGTCCCAGATATCTCTGTCTCTTTCTCCTGCGAATGACGGGGTATGGGCCTTGTCGGGTGTCTCTAGTACGTCCTTAGCGTCCGACTTGAAGAAAAAACCTTTGTCCAGATTTTTAAGCCTTGAGACAATTGAGACATGGATTGTGTACGTGTGCCATTCAGAGGGTGAATGCGCAATACAAAATATTTAAGTGCCTTTAAAGGGGGTATTTTTTAGGTGCCAGGCGCACTGGTTTGTGTCAAGAACTGCAACTCTGCTGGGTTTTTCACACTCAAAAGTTTCCTGTGTGTATCAAAAATGGTCCACCACCCATCCAGCCAACTTAACAAAACTGTGGGAAGCATTGGAGTCATCATGGGCCAGCATCCCTGTGGAACACTTTCAACACCTTGTAGAGTCCATGCCCCGATGAATTGAGGCTGTTCTGAGGGTAAAAGGGGGGCTGGGTTGCAACTCAATATTAGGAAGTTGTTCATAATGTTTGGTATGCTCAGTGTAGCTCTACATGCCAAGCGTCCAGTGATAATCATAGACTGACTGAGCACATCCACTGTGCAATAGCAGCCCTCTGCAGTCCTAGTAACAGCTGAGACTTGCTCAATGGTCAGCTCTGGGGATGATTCTCATTAATGAGGGCCTGAAGGCTCCTTATGAGTCAGACAGTCGTGGATAACAACAAATCAAGCCTTATAGCCCTGCTCTGATGAAGTGCTATTGAAGGCTGTGCTCTAGTGACTAAAGGCTGATACTGTCGCACAGAGAGAGAGATGGGCATGAGAGAGTGGGAGTGATTTCCCAGCTTGGTCATCTTTGATTAATGTCTCTGAGTGAAATAGGGCACCTGTCAATACTTGTGTGTGCATCCGTTTTACTTTCATCAAATTCGAATCAAAAATCGAATCAAAATCAAATTGTATTTGTCACAGGCGCCAAATACAACAGGTGTAGACTTTACAGTGAAATGCTTACAGGCCCTTTCCCAACAATGCAGAGTTAAAAAGTAAGAAAAAGTAAGAAAATGAGCTAATAGTAACACAATAAATAACAATAGCGAGGCTATACAGTGCCTTCGGAAAGTATTCAGACCCCTTGATTTTTTCCACATTTAGGTTAAAGCCTTTTTTCAAAAATTGATTAAATTGTTGCTAAAATACGGATATATAACATTTACATAAGTATTCAGACCCTTTACTCAGTACTTTGTTGAAGCACCTTTAGCAGCGATTACAGCCTCGAGTATTCTTGGGTATGACGCTACAAGCTTGGCACACCTGTATTTGTGGAGTTTCTCCCATTCTTCTCGGCAGATCCTCTCAAGCTCAGTCAGGTTGGATTGGGAGCGTCGCTCCACAGCTATTTTCAGGTCTTTCCAGCGTTGTTCGATCGGGTTAAAGTCAAAGCTCTGGCTGGGCCACTAAAGGACATTCAGAGACTTGTCCCGAAGCCACTCCTGCGTTGTCTTGGCTGTGTGCTTAGGGTTGTTGTCCTGTTGGAAGGTGAACCTTCGCCCCAGTCTGAGATCCTGAGCGCTCTGGAGCAGGTTTTGATCAAGGATCTCTCTGTACTTTGCTCTGTTAATCTTTGCCGAGATCCTGACTAGTATCCCAGTCCCTGCCGCTGAAAAACATCCCCACATCATGATGCTGCCACCACCATGCTTCACCGTAGGGATGGTGCCAGGTTTCCTCCAGACCTGACGCTTGGCATTCAGGCCAAAGAGTTCAATCTTGGTTTCATCAGACCAGAGAATATTTTTCTCATGGTCTGAGAGTCTTTAGGTGCCTTTTGACAAACTCCAAGAGGGCTGTCATGTGCCTTTTACTGAGGAGTGGCTTCCGTCTGGCCACTCTACCGTAAAGGCCTGATTGATGGAGTGCTGCAGAGATGGCTGTCCTTCTGGAAGGTTCTCCCATCTCCACAGAGGAACTCTAGAGCTCTATCAGAGTGATCATCGGGTTCTTGGTCACCTCCCTGACCAAGGCCCTTCTCTCCCGATTGCTCAGTTTGGCCGGGCGGCCAGCTCTAGGAAGAGTCTTGGTGGTTCCATACTTCTTCCATTTAAGAATTATGGAGGCCACTGTGTTCTTGGGGACCTTCAATGCTGCAGAAATTTTTTGGTACCCTTCCCCAGATCTGTGCCTACAACACAATCCTGTCTCAGAGCTCTACGGTCTATTCCTTTGACCTCATGGCTTGGTTTTTGCTCTGACATGCACTGTTAACTGTGGGACCTTATATAGACAGGTGTGTGCCTTTCCAAATCATGTCCAATCAATTGAATTTACCACAGGTGGACTCCAATCAAGTTTTAGAAACATCTCAAGGATGATCAATGGAAACAGGAGGCACCTGAGCTCAATTTCGAGTCTCATAGCAAAGGGTCTGAATAATGTGTGTGTGCCTCAGCTAAGCAGCATCACTGCAGGTCATTTTAAGTAGGTGTCATTAAAGTGAATGTCTTTAATTAGGAAGGCATGCTACAGCAGCAGACCATTGCCTCTTTTCACACAAGGTCATTGTCAGCAGAATTATAGGTAGAGTTTGAGAAACTGGACTTTTAAAAATAAAACTAAGATATTTAAAATATGAATTGTTATGTTCAGCCCTTTGGTTGTTTGGCCATTGTTTTAACAAAGTACAAAGGAAAAGGCCCTGAACCAACCTAGATTTGGTGAGAATATCTCTCATTTGCTTCGGTGCAAAAACATTGCATCACTACCTTTTAATTTTTTTTACAATACAACTATCAGTGAAAAACAGTGAAGGATTTAACTTTTACGTATGGTATGCCCCAATGTTTCTCTCTCTCATGTTCTCTAAGCTAGTAATGAGATTGTGTGGGGATTTGTGTTTGTTGTTTATGTTTGTCGTTTGTTGTTTCTGTGGTTTGGGGGGGGGGGTACTTATTATTGGAAGAAAGAGCATCAAAAGTCTATGCCTCACTACCTTCCCCCACACTTTTTGCTCTCTCACTCTCTCCCCCCCTCCCTCTCTCCCCCCCTCCCCCCCTCTATCCAGGGCGGTGGTTCACATCCAGGTGGATGACGTGAATGAGTTCTCTCCTGTGTTCCGGGAGGCCGTGTACCACGCTGCAGTAACAGAGGAGAAGATCTACGACAGCATCCTGCAGGTAGAGGCCTGGGACCAGGACTGTTCCCCGCAGTACAGCCAGATCTGCAACTACGACATCGTCACCTCCGACACACCCTTCGCCATCGACCGCAATGGTCAGTGAACTCTAACCTCATCCCCTGACCTCAAAACCTGCAGGTCAAATGACACAAGCATAGGCTACTCTGACTGACCTTGCGTTAGGTCAAACTTTTGTACTTTTGCTCTCTCTACACATTGTTAATTCTGCTCTCAGAAAAAAAAACATAAATTCCTTCAACTTGGTTACACTTTACTTTCTATAACAGTAATGACACAAACTGTTCCTCAGGCCATCAAATTGGCTCGGCATAATTTGAATACAGTCATTACCAGAAGTTCGTATCTAGATTGACTTACAGTCCATTCACAGTCAGTACATGTGGCCCATGCGGGAATTGAACCCAAAAATGTGATTTGCTGTTGCCAGAATCTTCTCCAACCAACTGAATTTAGTTAATTATATTCATAGCACATATCTCACACCATTTGTCAGCGTGCTTCCCCATTCATCTTCTGATCACAGTGCAGTGTTATACAGAGTGATATGAAACTGGATCCAGCTCTGTGTGATCAGTGGGAACACAAGGACGAGTGGAGCCCACTTATCAGACAGGCCAAAATGTTTCTCTGTCACGTCCTCCCTTTCTCCTTCTATTTTTCGAGAGAGGGAGGAAAGGGACGGAACGAAGGGTCGCGAGAGTTACGTATCGAGATAGCGATAAGAAGAGCGCTCTCGCTATATCGCGCGCGAGCTATCGGTATGGTATCTCGCTACTCTCTTTCCCTCCCTCTCTCTCTCTTCTTTTCTTCCTCCCTGTCTGGTGACTCTGATTTCCTCTGGGACGGCCCAGGCCCCTCTGTGACTTTTATAGCTCCTGTCCGCCATTCCAGCTTCGCGGCTGGCAGTCGCCTCGCCTCCTATAGCCCTCCCACTGTCTGCAGTGCGACTAGCGCTCGTGGTGCTCAATTAGAACTGAGCGGAGTGATGCATTGGGGCCGCCAGTGTGTTTTGTACTGAGGGGGCTTCTGGCTCCATCATTAACCGTGGATCAGAGGCCTGAGTGAGTTATTAAATAAAACAGGCCCGCCAGCCCTCTGCAACTCAGGGAGAAAGATGGAGGGAGTGAGGAAAGGAGAGAGGATGTGTTAGAGAGAAGTACAGAGAGGGAGAGGCCAGAAGAAAGAATCAACAGAGAAAAGAAGAGAGACAGGGAAGTAGAATCAGTAATAAGGAGGAGAAACAGCGACACAGATAGAGATACGGTAGTTCCAGCTCATTCAGAGTTGAAGGTTGTCTGAATTTTGTCTGAATGTTTCTTCTCTCCCTCATCGATCCTGAACAACTGATTGAGGTTTTATACTGAGACAGACAGTGAAGACGTACACTACCGTTCAAAAGTTTGGGGTCACTTAGAAATGTCATTGTTTTTGTGAAAGAAAATGAATGAAATTGTCCATTAAAATAACATCAAATTGATCAGAAATACAGTGTAGACATAGTTAATGTTTTAAATGGCTATTGTAGCTGGAAACAGTTGATTTTTTTATGGAATATCTACATACAGTGGGGGAAAAAAGTATTTAGTCAGCCACCAATTGTGCAAGTTCTCCCACTTAAAAAGATGAGAGAGGCCTGTAATTTTCATCATAGTTACACGTCAACTATGACAGACAAATTGAGAGAAAAAAATCCAGAAAATCACATTGTAGGATTTTTTATGAATTTATTTGCAAATTATGGTGGAAAATAAGTATTTGGTCAACTACAAACAAGCAAGATTTCTGGCTCTCACAGACCTGTAACTTCTTCTTTAAGAGGCTCCTCTGTCCTCCACTCGTTACCTGTATTAATGGCACCTGTTTGAACTTGTTATCAGTATAAAAGACACCTGTCCACAACCTCAAACAGTCACACTCCAAACTCCACTATGGCCAAGACCAAAGAGCTGTCAAATGACACCAGAAACAAAATTGTAGACCTGCACCATAGGTAAGCAGCTTGGTTTGAAGAAATCAACTGTGGGAGCAATTATTAGGAAATGGAAGACATACAAGACCACTGATAATCTCCCTCGATCTGGGGTTCCACGCAAGATCTCACCCCGTGGGGTCAAAATGATCACAAGAACGGTGAGCAAAAATCCCAGAACCACACGGGGGGTCCTAGTGAATGACCTGCAGAGAGCTGGGACCAAAGTAACAAAGCCTACCATCAGTAACACACTATGCCGCCAGGGACTCAAATCCTGCAGTGCCAGACGTGTCCCCCTGCTTAAGCCAGTACATGTCCAGGCCCGTCTGAAGTTTGCTAGAGTGCATTTGGATGATCCAGAAGAGGATTGGGAGAAAGTCATATGGTCAGATGAAACCGAAATATAACTTTTTGGTAAAAATTCAACTCGTCGTGTTTGGAGGACAAAGAATGCTGAGTTGCATCCAAAGAACACCATACCTACTGTGAAGCATGGGGGTGGAAACATTTCGGGCTGTTTTTCTGCAAAGGGACCAGGACGACTGATCCGTGTAAAGGAAAGAATGAATGGGGCCATGTATCGTGAGATTTTGAGTGAAAACCTCCTTCCATCAGCAAGGGCATTGAAGATGAAACGTGGCTGGGTCTTTCAGCATGACAATGATCCCAAACACACCGCCCGGGCAACGAAGGAGTGGCTTCGTAAGAAGCATTTCAAGGTCCTGGAGTGGCCTAGCCAGTCTCCAGATCTCAACCCCATAGAAAATCTTTGGAGGGAGTTGAAAGTCCGTGTTGCCCAGCGACAGCCCCAAAACATCACTACTCTAGAGGAGATCTGCATGGAGGAATGGGCCAAAATACCAGCAACAGTGTGTGAAAACCTTGTGAAGACTTACAGAAAACGTTTGACCTGTGTCATTGCCAACAAAGGGTATATAACAAAGTATTGAAAAACTTTTGTTATTGACCAAATACTTATTTTCCACCATAATTAGCAAATAAATTCATAAAAAATCCTACAATGTGATTTTCTGGAGAAAAAAATTCTCATTTTGTCTGTCATAGTTGACGTGTACCTATGATAAAAATTACAGGCCTCTCTCATCTTTTTAAGTGGGAGAACTTGCACAATTGGTGGCTGACTAAATACTTTTTTCCCCCACTGTAGGTGTACAGAGGCCCATTATCAGCAACCATCAGTCCTGTGTTCCAATGTCATGTTGCGTTTGCTAATCCAAGTTTATCATTTTAAAAGGCTAATTGAACAAGAATAGACTAACGAGTTTCAGAAGAAAGTTATTTTTTTCTGGTCATTTTGAGCCTTTAATCGAACCCACAATTGCTGATGCTCCAGATACGCAACTAGTCTCAAGAAGGCCAGTTTTATTGCTTCTTTAATCAGCACAACAGTTTTCAGCTGTGCTAACATAATTGCAAAAGGGTTTTCTAATGATAAATTAGCATTTTAAAATGATAAACTTGGATTAGCAAACACAACGTGCTATTGGAACACATGACTGATGGTTGCTGATAATGTGCCTCTGTACGCCTATGTAGATATTCCATAAAAAATCTGCCGTTTCCAGCTACAATAGCCATTTACAACATTAACAATGTCTACACTGTATTTCTGATCAATTTGATGTTATTTTAATGGACCAAAAAATTGTCTAATGGAACAAGAAAATGTCTAAGTGACCCCAAACTTTTGAACTGTAGTGTATATTTAAAGATAATGAATACATTTAAAATAATTAATACGAAAGTCAAGAGTTGGCTATAACATGAGTACAAACAAAGTGAGTGTGTGAATATGTGTGTAAGTGTTTGTGTGCGTGTGTGTGTATTATGGTGTGTATTATAATTTCCCATCATAAGAATGTATCCCCATTCCCCAATCAAATACCTTAATCGATACAAAAAACAAAACAAAAAAATCTGTATTTTTTTCTCCAGTCTGGCAACCCTCATAAAATTGGACATAGCCTTGTATAAAATGCATTATGAAAGTATAATAATAATAATAATAATATGCCATTTAGCAGACGCTTTTATCCAAAGCGACTTACAGTCATGTGCGCATACATTTTTACGTATGGGTGTCCCAGGGATCGAACCCACTACCCTGGCATTACAAGCGCCATGCTCTACCAATTGAGCTACAGAGGACCACCAAAGAAATGGTGTAATGTAGTCGAAAAAGTGGAGCTTTGTATTAAATGCATTATAAAGAAAATTGTGTAATGTAGGCTCAACGAAATATGAAATGCGTTATGAAGAAAACCGTGTAGGCCTACTGTTGCCTACACAAAAAAAAGGGCCTTCTGACTTTCTGACTACAAGTATCCCAAATTATTAATTGAAAACAAGCATAGAAAACAGTATTGGAATTAATACAACATTTAAAAACGTAAGGCTACTACTATATTATAATTATTTTGGTGACAACCTGGTGGATTAACAATATTGGCTTGTTAACAGGTTTGTTTTTTTATATAAATAAATGTGGGACACAAAAAAAAGGCAGTGTCGAAAACCATTGCCCATCATGCATTGCTCTAATAACTTTCAAAAGATTGTTCCGAAGTTTGCCCCCCAAAAATGTATTTTCCAATGAATGAAGACAAACAATGCCACCCCTCAGAGCCTGTTTCCTCTCTAGGTTTTCCTAGGGAGTTTTTCATAGCCACTGTGCTTCTACATCTGCATTGCTTGCTCTTGGCATTTTAGACTGGGTTTCTGTATAAGTTCTTTGTGACAACTGCTGATGTAAAAAGGGCTTTATAAATACATTTGATTGATTGAGCTCTCTTCACTCCCATAAGGTCTCATTTAGGGTAGAATCCACACAACTCTGATTTTTTGCCTAACTCATGCATTGTAGTCAATGGGAGATTCCCGCAAAAAAATAGTAATGCCTGCACATCTTAAATTAGGGTTCAGCTCATAGAGACCAGTGTAACCACCACAGCCATTGCAGTCTTCATCAAAACCCTTAGCACTTTGATTGCTTGTATGGAACTACATCTGAATAAAGGCATCGCTTTGATTTACTGCATGGCATTAATCTCCACAATCAGCACTAACAACGTACCACTCCACTAACTCTCCGACCCAGATTCACAGAAGGAAGTGAGAGACTGAGATATCCTCCTTTTTGAGGGTACATCATGTTCATAGGGTCCATCTGGGAGTGGAGCTGTCCAGGTTTGAGGGCTCACACTGCTCCTGACCTCCTCTCCTCTCCTTGACAGCTGCAGAGCTGCCTCCAGGGCAAGATTCATTAATAAATGCCAACCTGCATCAGCATCAGGAGCATAGAGATACAACTATAGAAAGGCTGATGTCATAGGACCTCAAACCATAATTCCTCTCTAGTGCTCTATCTCTATGATCCAGACACTGACATACTCTCAGACAACCAAACTGGCTGTAGAGGTTACCAGCTAGTTGAGCAAAATAGCCTCCGTTTAGGGAAGGTGGGAAAACAAAAGCTAACGAACTTACAGTTGAAGTCGGAAGTTCACATACACTTAGGTTGGAGTCATTAAAATTGGTGTTTCAACCACTCCACACATTTCTTGTTAACAAACTATAGTTAGGACATCTACTTTGTGCATGACACAAGTAATTTTTTCCAACAATTGTTTACAGACAGATTATTTCACTTATAATTCACTGTATCACAATTCCAGTGGGTCAGAAGTTTACATACTCTAAGTTGACTGTGCCTTTAAACAGTTTGGAAAATTATAGAAAATGATGTCATGGCTTTAGAAGCTTTTGATAGGCTAATTGACATCATTTGAGTCAATTGGAGGTGTACCTGTGGATATATTTCAAGGCCTACCTTCAAACGTAGTGCCTCTTTGCTTGACATCATGGGAAAATCAAAAGAAATCAGCCAAGACCTCAGAAAAGAAATTGTAGACCTCCACAAGTCTGGTTCATCCTTGGGAGCAATTTACAAACGCCTGAAGGAACCACGTTCATCTGTACAAACAATAGTACGCAAGTATAAACTCCATGGGACCACGCAGCCGTCATACCGCTCAGGAAGGAGACGCGTTCTGTCTCCTAGAGATGAACGTACTTTGGTGCGAAAAGTGCAAATCAATCCCAGAACAACAGCAAAGGACCTTGTGAAGATGCTGGAGGAAACAGGAACAAAAGTATCTATAGCCACAGTAAAACAAGTCCTATATCGACATAACCTGAAAGGCCGCTCAGCAAGGAAGAAGCCACTGCTCCAAAACCGCCATAAAAAAGCCAGACTACGGTTTGCAACTGCACATGGGGACAAAGATTGTACTTTTTGGAGAAATGTCCTCTGGTCTGATGAAACAAAAATAGAACTGTTTGGCCATAATGACCATTGTTATGTTTGGAGGAAAAAGGGGAAGCTTGCAAGCCGAAGAACACCATCCCAACCGTGAAGCACGGGGGTGACAGCATCATGCTGTGGGGGTGCTTTGCTGCAGGAGGGACTGGTGCACTTCACAAAATAGATGGCATCATGAGGAAGGACAATTATGTGGATATATTGAAGAAACATCTCAAGACATCAGTCAGGAAGTTAAAGCTTGGTCGCAAATGGGTCTTCCAAATGGACAATGACCCCAAGCGTACTTCCAAAGTTGTAGCAAAATGGCTTAAGGACAACAAAGTCAAGGTATTGGAGTGGACATCACAAAGCCCTGACCTCAATCCTATAGAACATTTGTTGGCAGAAAAGGCGTGTGCGAGCAAGGAGGCCTACAAACCTGACTCAGTTACACCAGCTCTGTCAGGAGGAATGGGCCAAAATTCACCCAACTTATTGTGGGAAGCATGTGGAAGGCTACCCAAAAACGTTTGACCCAAGTTAAACAATTTAAAGGCAATGCTACCAAATACTAATTGAGTGTATGTAAACTTCTGACCCACTGGGAATGTGATGAAAGAAATAAAAGCTGAAATAAATCATTCTCTCTACTATTATTCTGAAATTTTACATTCTTAAAATAAAGTGGTGATCCTAACTGACCTAAGACAGGGATTTTATACTAGGATTAAATGTCAGGAATTGTGAAAAACTGAGTTTAAATGTATTTGGCTAAGGTGTATGTAAACTTCCGACTTCAACTGGAGATGTTAGAGTGTGAAGAGGATATTAATTTGGATAGGAGAGGAACTCAGTGAAATCGATGAACAATACATGAACTAAATCTATTTACAGACAATGGCAGTGAGTTGAATTGTCTTGAGTGCATCCCTCACGCTTGTGATGGTTCATATTTTTATGTTAGTATTTTTTTTAAATCTTCATTTCTCCTCTCCCTCATTAGGTAACATCAGAAACACGGAGCGTCTGAGCTATGACAAGCAGCTGCGCTACAAGATCATGGTGACCGCCTTCGACTGCGGCCAGAAGAGGGCGACGGAGAGTGTGGCGGTGCACATCGACGTCAAGCCCGTCTGTAAACCTGGCTGGCAAGGTCAGTGACATCAAAAAGGAAGACTGTCTGTTCACACTGCATAGATCTAAGTTGCAGATCCCAAAAGTTACTAAAAGGTTGCTAATCATTCAATAAGTCGTTTGGGTGCCCCGAAGTTAGAGGCTACCACACTGTAGCTGGTGAAGAGCAGCAGAAATCAATTCACTCCTCACAAAATGGCCGCCAACATGACTCAGAGTACTTGGTTGCAGCACTATCAGTGTCTCTGCGTTCTCCTTGCACTGTTATTTTCTCCCTCTGCACCCCAGTAGTGTTCTAAGAGAAAGAGAAGCTCTCATCTTCCCTGTTGAGGCATATAGCTACACTCTCACACTCCTTGCTCTGGATCTTACAGTCCTCCTCGATTCTGTTTACCCGAGCAATCCAGGTCAAGGGCCCCTGTGGAGAAGGGAAGAGGGGAATACAGCATATCCCGTTTTAGAATAATGCCCCAAGAGGGAAGAAAACATTGTTTAAGGAACTTGACTGGATCTTGTCTCAAACTACTGTAGCATTCACACAGTTAAGGCCTTCACAAGTGGACAGGGTCCCCCACTGCTTCATTAGGCCACGTCATGAAAAGAAAGGCTGGGGAGACACCTTCATCTACATTTTACATTTACGTCATTTAGCAGACGCTCTTATCCAGAGCGACTTACACGAGCAATTAGGGTTAAGTGACTTGCTTAAGGGCACATCGACAGATTTTTCACCTAGTCGGCTCGGGGATTAGAACCAGCGACCTTTCGGTTACTGGCACAACGCTCTTACCCACTAAGCTACCTGCCGCCCCAGGTAGCTACCAGGTAGCTACCTAATTAGAAGAAATCCCTCCTTTCCTTAAAGGTCGAACCCGCCTTTGTTATTGTTTTGGTTTTGTTGATGAAATGAAGGTGAGGAGCGTCGGGCAGTGTGGTAAATATTTTTTTTTAAACGGTACCTATTGTGCTGTTCTGTCACGCGTGCACTGATATCCGAGGGGGGGGGGGGGGGGGGGGGGGTGGAATGGTTAGTTGTTTGCAGTTTGTTGTTGTAATATCCCAAAAGGACGTGGCAGTTTCACCAATTTAAGGATTTTACCTTTAAAGACAGTGTGTGATTGCTCTTGCTGGAAATGTAGCTTGAAATGGTGCCAGGGTTTTTCCATTACCTGAATGGAGGCTTACGCAGTAGTGGGGGGTACCTTGATACTAAAGGGCAACTCTCCATGAGACACTCACTGTAAATGTCACCCTCAAATAGAGCTATATCTAATAGTCCTCAAAGTCATGGCAACAGACGGTACATACTGCTGCGAAGTACAGTAAAGTGTGGCATTCCCACAATCTCTTTGTTTTAAAAGAGTCATTGGTCCTGCCCTTCAGACCAATAAGAAATATGAACACGTTATACTCACAAAAAGCTCATAAATGTTACATAATGGGCCGTAATGTGTAATAATTCCAGCCATAATCCAACATAGGCTAGTAGCCATTAACCTTGGCATATATAATCATAAATATAAGATGTAATGAGGCATTAACATATTATGCCCATGACTTACATGGGTATATACTTCATAAAGTCATTTATTTGACCTTGTAACCGGATAATGAAATGTGTTGGAGTATGATTTGTGTCATTGAACAGAAAAGCCTTGTGTAATTGAATAGAAAGTCTATTGAAATCATAGCTCTATTTGAAATCGTGCATGCAAGATTTCAATGGTCTTCAAGACAACGATAACACAGTATATTTTCATTACCAGGATAGATAGATGGATAGATAGATCAAATCAAATCAAATGTTATTTGCCACATGCGCCGAATACAACAGGTGTAGGTAGACCTTACAGTGAAATGCTTACTTACAAGCCCTTAACCAACAATGGAGTTTTAAGATATATATATTTTTTTAATAAGTAAAAAATAACAAATAATTAAAGAGCAGCAGTAAAATAAAATAACAGTAGGGAGGCTATATACAGGGGGGTACCGGTGCAGAGTCAGTGTACGGGGGCACCGGTTAGTTGAGGTAATTGAGGTAATATGTACATGTAGGTAGAGTTAAAGTGACTTTGCATAGATAATAAACAGAGTAGCAGCAGCGTAAAAGAGGCGGTGGGGTGGGGGGGGCAATGCAAATAGTCCGGGTAGCCATGATTAGCTGTTCAGGAGTCTTATGGCTTGGGGGTAGAAGCTGTTAAGAAGCCTTTTAGACCTAGACTTGGCGCTACGGTACCGCTTGCCGTGCGGTAGCAGAGAGAACAGTCTATGACTAGGGTGGCTGGAGTCTTTGATAATTTTGAGGGCCTTCTTCTGACACGGCCTGGTATAGAGGTCCTGGATAACAGGAAGATTGGCCCCAGTGATGTACTGGGCCGTACGCACTACCCTCTGTAGTGCCTTGCGATCGGAGGCCGAGCAGTTGCCATACCAGGCGGTGATGCAACCAGTCAGGATGCTCTCGATGGTGCAGCTGTAGAACTTTTTGAGGATCTGAGGACCCATGCCAAATCTTTTCAGTCTCCTGAGGGGGAATAGGCTATAAATAGATCGATAGATAGATAGATAGATATTGTCCTCCCAAAGAGGAAACTATACTGAACAAAAATATAAACGGAACATGTAAAGTGTTGGTCACATCTTTCATGAGCTGAAATAAAAGATCCCAGACATTTTCCCTATGCACAAAAAGCTTATTTCTTCCTGTTCCATTCCTGTTAGTGAGCATTTCTCCTTTGCCAAGATATTTCATCCACCTGACAGGTGGGGCCTATCAAGAAGCTGATTAAACAGCATGATCATTACACAGGTGCACCCTGTGCTGGGGACAATAAAAGGCCACACTAAAATGTGCAGTTTTGTCACACAACACAATGCCACAGATGTCTGAGGTTTTAAGGGAGCGTGCAATTGGCATGCTGACTGCATGTTGAATTCTCTACCATACATCGCCTAAAATGTCATTTTAGAAGATTTGGCAGTACGTCCATCCGGCCTCACAACCGCAGACCACACCAGCCCAGGACCTCCACATCTGGTTTCTTCACCTGTGGGATCGTCTGAGGAGTGGGGTGGTGCTGTGGAGTATTTCTGTCTGTAATAAAGCCCTTTTGTGGGAAAACATTTATTCTGATTGGCTGGGCCTGGCTCCCCAGTGGGTGGGCCTATGCCCTCCCAGGTCCACCCATGGCTGCTCCCATTGCCCAGTCATGTGAAATCCATAAATGAATGCCTAATGAATTTATTTCAATTGACTGATTTCCTTCTATGAACTGTAACTTAGTAAAATCTTTGAAATTGTTGCATGTTGCGTTTATATTTTTGTTCAGTATACCACATGAGTATAACTCTTAATTAAATAGAGCAATTCCTGTACCTTTTCTGTGCAAGCCTTCTAACAACATCCTCTCTCTGTCTGCGTCTCCCTGGTCATGTCATTTCTCTCTCTGAGTGTTTTGCCTTGAATATATCATGGAACAGACTCGACAGCTGTCAACTGCCCGCTCCACACACAGCAATAAAATGGCTATAACTGCTGCTTAGACTATAAAGAAGGCCTGGTGCGGCCCACGGATACATATGGAGGGTAATCGAAATGTAAAACGGGTGACAAAGATGACAGACGAAGTCAAGGGGAGGTGAGGCCTTCCTGCACTGGAGCTGTCATGTTCCTTGAGCATGTAATTCGCATCTGGCGTTCTCCGTCTTCCGCCATCTCTCTCGTTCTTTCTCTCTTACTACATCTACCTTTCTCTCTCTTTCCCTTTTTCTCTCTCTCTCTATCTCTCTGGTCATATGCCACCTATCATGGCTGATCCTTCCAGCGACCCATCCCATTTTTGCGTTTTCATGCCATTACCTGGCAATCTGGCATATCACTTTGGTCTGGTAGAGAACCATCAACATCCCTCTAGACTTCTTCTGACGATTGCCTCAGCACTTCAAGTGTCTTATATCGTAGCCTCCTGTGTCAGAACCTCACTTCTCCCTAAGCTTATTGGTGTGTGAAGTCACCTGTCACCGTTCAGCTTTAGTGAGGAGTGCTCCGTGATGCCTTCAATTCAGAGGCTTGCTCTGGTATTCAGTGGAACCCTTTTCCAGCACAGAGCATTGGCTCTGTGCTGGAGCTAGCCTGGCGATCGTAGCGCCAGTGAAAGATAGGACAAAATATGCTGAGCTAAAAACAGGCTAAGGGTCTAACCTTCACCCAAAGTGAATACCAAACATGCAAGTGGTGACTAATACAACAGTGGGAGAGCCTGGCCAGTGGCTGAATGCATTTATCGTTTCTAGATGATTTAGTTCTGTTTTAGAAGTAATACAATGTTTTATTTAGAAATGTTTGTGTCTACAGTAGCACAATGATGATAAAATAGTTCAGTACAGTGTTGCCCTAACAAGCCACTTTTGGCATATGAATTAATAAGCATTTGTAAAAATACATTTTCTATTGGGAATAATAAACTATATACTTCTCTCATTCTCCCAGGCTGGAACAAACGAGTGGACTATGAGCCCGGAACAGGAAGCAAGCAACTGTTTCCCAAGATGCACCTTGAGACTTGTGACGGCCCGCTGTCGGCGGTGAGAGCCATGGTGGAGCTGCAGACCAGCCACATCGGGAAGGGCTGCGACCGGGAGACCTACTCCGAGAAGTCCCTACAGAAACTCTGTGGTAAGCCACAAGGAAAGAGAGAAATTAAAATAATAAAATGTTCTAATAACATTTCATCCTGTGTGCAGTTGCACATTATGTAATGTGTTAATTACACTTATGACAAGTCATAGAGACAAGTGGGTGTGCTTTTTCTGTCTTACTCAACTCATTAATGGTTTCCAATTACTGTAACTACTCTAATTTCAATTTTTTTGTCACGTTGAGTCACACCAATGTCTAACAGTCAAATTATAAACTAGTAGTTATTTAATTGTAGTTTGTAAGTCTACAGGTAGGTGGCAGGTAGCCTAGCGGTTAAGAGTGTTGAGCCAGTAACTGAAAGGTTGCTGGTTCGAATCCCTGAGCTGGAAAATCTGTCTGTGCCTTTGAGCAAGGCACTTAACCCTAAGAGCATCTGCTAAATTAAATGTCTATATTTGATCAACCTTATGAATCATTGTTATTAATAATTCTGGGGAGAAATCTGCTCAAGTGAACATTTTCATTGTGAAGAGTTGAAAATGTGAACGGTCTCAGATTTTTTTATGTATTTCTTTCTTGGATTTATTTTCCTGTTGTGAAAAACTGAAGCGTGATATGGTTGGCTAAAAAATTATATGCATCAAAAACAGTTTATTGTTCGACTCAAACCTAAGTCTTTATGTGTTTAAGTAATGGCTACACACGCATACTTGATATGCTCATTTAGATGCAGAAGTATTTCCCAACTTCTTTAGTATGCAAAGTTTGCAAGCCAGGAGCTTTTCCAAAGCTCCATAATCGTATCTAATATGCAATAAAACAAATTGTAATAGTTTTTTTTCCCCGAGCAACATTGACTTCTGTGAGAGTACAAATATCGGTACACATAAATAGAGAGCACACAGAGATTGCTCAAGAGGGCCGCCATATAATTTTTTAGAGCCACTAAAGATAATTGAATTAGGTCAACAACATCCTACCATTCAATTTGAAAAATGTGTTAAAAAGAATCTGTCTAAAAAATAAGTACTTACTTTATTTCCTAAGCAGAGAAAGGTTGGAAGTTTGATGTATTCATAGCTTTCATGGCCAGATGTGGGCTGGTCAATACTAAACTAAGATGAATAGAAGACAGGGGTCACAGATTTGACAAGGCCTTCTGAAAACTGTGCAGAGTGAGAGTATGAGACTGAATCTCATCAACTTCTCTCTCCTCATGATCACAGTGAAAGTCCTGACACAGTTTAAAGAGGCCTGGGTGTGGATTTATGCTGCCATATCGATTGACAGGCATGAATGTTGCATAGTTTAAAAGAGCTGGCCTGTTTCTTCGAAGGGGTGGGCGGGGTGGGAATTTGGGGGAGAGAACCAAGTGTCTTAACATACAGGGTCATTCATCACTTGTTAGATTCATACTGTCACCTCTTGTGTGACATAGAGAGGGTGACGCTGTGGTGAGAAGAAACATATGTAAAATACCTTTTCCAACGAAGACTGTTCAGTTCTGCAACAATTCAGCATCTTATCTCTGTACTGTTACATTCTAAGCCCACATAATTATCCCCATGACAACACCCTGCATAGACATCGTGAGATTAGAGATTTTTAGATAACATCCAACTCAAATGTTACATGTATCAGTCTCCTTTTAACCTTGTGCCACTTTTTGTGTGTCAAAATGTCACGCACTGAGTATGTTCTCATCTTTAATTGGTCCTCCAGGTGCAGCGTCCGGCAGCACAGACCTCCTCCCCGCCCCCAGCGCTTCCACCAATTGGACGGCCTCGCTGCTGACAGACAATGGGCGGGATAGCGACCTCATCTTCCGCTTCGATGGACGGCAGGCATCCAACGTGCCGGAGCAGGTGGTTCCACAGAACCTGACTGACCAGTTCACCATTGCCACGTGGATGAAGCACGGGCCTAGCCCCGGTCTGAGGGCTGAGAAGGAGACCTTGCTCTGCAACTCCGACAAGACCGGTGAGACCAGGAAGGGGTTCATTTGGGGAAGTCATAATTTTATGGTGGTGAGGTGGTGGAACTGTTGCCCAAATTGAGGCTATTTATCTTCTGTCACAAGATTTAAGAGAGAATCAATGCAATAGCCACTTTTAGGGCTACCATTTATTGTTCCAGGTAAGCTGTAAGACAGGAGCAAATTGCGTCCAATGTGAAGACAGTTGGCGCCCAACTTGGGACGTAGGAACATTTTGTGCCCAATCTGGAGTGGAGGTGGCGTAGCCGTGTAGATGCAGAGGTTGTTTTGTCATCTGTCGACCACTTCTAGTTTCAGAGTTAGACTAAGTGGAGCTGTGAGGGTGTGACTGGAGACAGGCAGCCTGACAGGCTCTTATTGATTCCATCGACCTCTCCACTCACACTGAGCGAAAAGGAGAGTCCATCAATATGCACTGCCAAAACAGCCCTGTGTGTAACCCAAGCGGCTCCAAGGAAAAGCACAGAAGGGGGGTTATGATGAAAAGTGTTGCCATGAGAGGAAAGCCGTGAAGTCACACACCTCATTAGCGTCCCACAGGGCCTTTCACAATGTCACAATGGCACAGGGAGCATGGGACATTTATCGAGCTGCCTCGTGAAGTGGCAGGGTTTAATTCAAAGTGGCACACGTCAATAGCATTTACAGGACATATTGCACCAATAAGCTCCTTTGCCCATAATGACAGATATAATTTCAGATAGAGTACCACTTTAGCATTTGTAAAATATCATTTATTTTCACTCTTAACTGTGGAATATAGTTTTTTTTGTCAGATAAGGTATAATACTTATATATTTTTATGCAGTAGACTGTCTAGAATGTCTATGTTTTTCTGTGAAGTAGAATAGAGAATATCTCTATTCTGTTCTGGCCAGAAAATGTAGTTAATATAACTCAAACGTTTATGAATGTTCTAAGCCTGTAATTGCCCGTTTTCTGTAATGTATCCATATCCTTCTACAGAAATGAACCGGCACCACTACTCCCTGTACGTCCACAACTGCCGTCTGGTGTTCCTGCTCAGGAGAGACTTCACCCAGGTTGACAACTTCCGCCCTGCAGAGTTCCACTGGAAACTGGAGCAGGTGAGCTGACCTATGACCTCTGACTTTTGACCGAGGAGAACAGGAGTAAGTCATGATGATGGGAACCTCCACTGTTCCATTGTCTATACTTGCATACATCAAAGGTGAAATAAATAAATAAAATACCACTTAGAATCAGGGCCGGCGCCAGAACAAAACGGTTGGAGGGCAATTTAATTTTGATGTTTTTTTCACTGGACCTTCTATGTGGATATATGTAAAAAAAATATATATGCGATACCAGTCAAAAGTTTGGACGCACCTACTCATTCAAGGGTTTTTCTTTATTTTTACCATTTTCTACATTGTAGAATAATAGTGAAGACATCAAAACTATGAAATAACACATAAGGAATCATGTAGTAACCAAAAAAGTGTTAAACAAATCAAAATATATTTTATATTTGAGATTCTTCAAAGTAGCCACCCTTTGCCTTGATGACAGCTTTGCACACTCTTGGCATTCTCTCAACCAGCATCATGAGGTAGTCACCTGGAATGCATTTCAATTAACAGGTGTGCCTTGTTAATTTGTGGAATTTCTTTCCTTCTTAATATGTTTGAGCCAATCAGTTGTGTTGTGACAAGGTAGGGGTGGTATACAGAAGATAGCCCTATTTGGTAAAAGACCAAGTCCATATTATGGAAAGAACAGCTCAAATAAACAAAGAGAAATGACAGTCCATCATTACTTTAAGACATGAAGGTCAGTAAATCCTGAAAATTTGAAGAACTTTGAAAGTTTCTTCAAGTGCAGTCGCAAAAACCATCAAGCGCTATAATGAAACTGGCTCTCATGAGGAACGCCACAGGAAAGGAAGACCCAGAGTTACCTCTGCTGCAGAAGATAAGTTCATTAGAGTTAACTGTACCTCAGATTGCAGCCCAAATAAATACTTCACAGAGTTCAAGTAACAGACACATTTCAACATCAACTGTTCAGAGGAGACTGTGTGAGTCAGGCTTTCATGGTCGAATTGCTGCAAAGAAACCACTACTAAAGGACACCAATAAGAAGAAGAGACTTGCTTGGGCCAAGAAACACGAGCAATGGACATTAGACCGGTGGAAATCTGTCCTTTGGTCTGATGAGTCCAAATTGGAGATGTTTGGTTCCAACCGCTGTGTCTTTGTGACAATATACACTGCTCAAAACAATAAAGGGAACACTTAAACAACACAATGTAACTCCAAGTCAATCACACTTCTGTGAAATCAAACTGTCCACTTAGGAAGCAACACTGATTGACAATACATTTCACAGGCTGTTGTGCAAATGGAATAGACAACAGGTGGAAATTATAGGCAATTAGCAAGACACCCCCAATAAAGGACTGGTTTTGCAGGTGGTGACCACAAACCACTTCTCAGTTCCTATGCTTCCTGGCTGATGTTTTGGTCACTTTTGAATGCTGGCGGTGCTTTCACTCTAGTAGTAGCATGAGACAGAGTCTACAACCCACACAAGTGGCTCAGGTAGTGCAGCTCATCCAGGATGGCACATCAATGCGAGCTGTGGCAAGAAGGTTTGCTGTGTCTGTCAGCGTAGTGTCCAGAGCATGGAGGCGCTACCAGGAGACAGGCCAGTACATCAGGAGACGTGGAGGAGGCCGTAGGAGGGCAACAACCCAGCAGCAGGACCACTACCTCCGCCTTTGTGCAAGGAGGAGCAGGAGGAGCACTGCCAGAGCCCTGCAAAATGACCTCCAGCAGGCCACAAATGTGCATGTGTCTGCTCAAACGGTCAGAAACAGACTCCATGAGGGTGGTATGAGGGCCCGACGTCCACAGGTGGGGGTTGTGCTTACAGACCAACACCGTGCAGGACGTTTGGCATTTACCAGAGAACACCAAGATTGGCAAATTCGCCACTGGCCATCTGTGCTCTTCACAGATGAAAGCAGGTTCACACTGATCACATGTGACAGAGTCTGGAGACGCTGTGGAGAACGTTCTGCTGCCTGCAACATCCTCCAGCATGACCGGTTTGGCGGTGGGTCAGTCATGGTGTGGGGTGGCATTTCTTTGGGGGGCCGCACAGCCCTCCATGTGCTCACCAGAGGTAGCCTGACTGCCATTAGGTACCGAGATGAGATCCTCAGACCCCTTGTGAGACCATATGCTGGTGCGGTTGGCCCTGGGTTCCTCCTAATGCAAGACAATGCTAGATCTCATGTGGCTGGAGTGTGTCAGCAGTTCCTGCAAGAGGAAGGCATTGATGCTATGGACTGGCCCGCCCGTTCCCCAGACCTGAATCCAATTGAGCACATCTGGGACATCATGTCTCGCACCATCCACCAACGCCACGTTGTACCACAGACTGTCCAGGAGTTGGCGGATGCTTTAGTCCAGGTCTGGGAGGAGATCCCTCAGGAGACCATCCGCCACCTCATCAGGAGCATGCCCAGGCGTTGTAGGGAGGTCATACAGGCACGTGGAGGCCACACACACTACTGAGCCTCATTTTGACTTGTTTTAAGGACATTGCATCAAAGTTGGATTAGCCTGTAGTGTGGTTTTCCACTTTAATTTTGAGGGTGACTCCAAATCCAGACCTCCATGGGTTGATAAATTTGATTTCCATTTATAATTTTTGTGTGATTTTGTTGTCAGCACATTCAACTATGTAAAGAAAAAAGTATTTAATAAGATTATTTCATTCATTCAGATCTAGGATGTGTTATTTTAGTGTTCCCTTAATTTTTTTGAGCAGTGTATTTGAATTTTTTTAACACGTTTTTGGTTACTACATGATTCCATATGTTATTTCATAGTTTTGATGTCTTCACTATTATTCTACAATGTAAAAAATAGTAAAAATAAAGAAAAATCCTTGAATGAGTAGGTGTGTCCAAACTTTTGACTGGTACTGTATATAGGCACTCCACGAATACAATTTATTGAACACTTTACTTTGTTTATATATATTCTTACAACTATGAAACAGAAAGCATTTGTGTTGGAACCCGGTATAAGCTTATTTTTATGACGACAAAATAAAAATAAATACCCCAACCACCAAGATGCACCGTCAGCAAGATGCATGGTCAAATGACAACATCAATAGCCTAAACGTCATTACAAGCTCCAAGTGTGCTTGATAGTAGTGAAAATCATCACAAAAGCAATAATGGCATAACGATTCTAAGTGTTGATATGACAGCAGTCAAAAAGTCCATTATCAGTTGACGCATGTCCATGTCACATAGCCTAAACAACAAAATCTGTTGAGCGAGTGGCCGATTTTGTTTCTTGCTTGTGATGTAGGACCTGCTCTCTCAGTAATTACATTTTGTGCTGATAATAGCCCGTAGAATTCTCACCAGCTTGTTCTATTCCAAACGGTGCCGTCCTCTCTCCTGTCTCATCGTTTCATTTAGTGGTGGCATGGGCACCTGCTCACTGCGCACAGTTCTGGCTTTTTAGTGGTTAGGCCTCGGAGGTGTAGGTTCCGTTAGAGGCTCAGAATCAGAAGAATACTCATCGGCGATGTCATCATGATTAATTTCTTCCCCACCCTCTGAGTCATTTTCATTCAGATTTTGTAGCAACGCTAACGAGTGCATCCATTCGTCTTGGTCTTCTTGCAATTGTAAATTACGCACGCTCTCACTGTGTACTTCAAGTAGGCCAGAGTAGACTGATAACAGAGTACATAACATTTTGAGATTATAATTAGAATAGATCAATACAATAGAATGGCCCGACCTGTTCTTCATTCACGATTGGTGATTACATAATTATGCATTGTTCATTTTCCCTCGCTCATCAACTCATCCATTCTCACCATCATACTTTAGCCTACTTCATTTATTTGTTATTAGATATGTGAAATTAGTTTCAGTATAGTTTAGGTACTGTGGAGAGAAGGAGGGGCAACGGGGAAACCATATAAAAAATGACATGCCCTCCTAAAGCTGTCTATAACACCAGATCTGTTTGTGATATTAAGATTCTAACAAAGACAGTGTGTATTATAGACTTATTTAGGAAAAGTCAAGGATGGAGGGGGCATGACTTTCAAAATGGCAGAGTAATCAATTTTTGTAATTCATGAGCAGTCCAAATGACTACTTTAGCGGTTCTATTGTGGGTTTTATAGTAGCACATGTAATTTAACTGTACAAATGTATTAGCCTTTATTTTAATGTGACATGAACACAACCAGTCATGATGTTTTCATCTGATTGCAAAACAAATCACTTCAAAATGTAGGTTACCTTCTCACATAAGTCCAAAATAGCATCCGATCGACCGAAACAGCGCCCTTCTGTCTTACAATATGTAGCCCCACATATCTGATGCGGTCTGGCAAAAAAAGAGAACGTCATACTCTTTTAGTCCAGACAGCATGAGATACATTGGCTACACAAACTGAAACAGAGAGGCGATGTTTCGCTTGCTCAGATGCTTTATCTGACAATGATGGGTCTTTCTGTCGGCGCACGTCTTGGTTAAATAAATTATCAATGGGCCTCCCGAGTGGCACAGCGGTCTAAGGCACTGCATCTCATTGCTGAGGCACCACTATAGCCTGGGGTTCGATCCCATAACCGGGAGCCCCATTGGGCAGCGCACAATTGGCCCAGTGCCGTCTGGCTTAGGGGAGGGTTTGGCCGGGGGGAGAGAGGGGGGCTTTCCTTGGCTCATCGTGCTCTAGCGACTCCTTGTGGCGGTCCGGGCGCCTGCAAGCTGACCTAGTCGAACAGCGTTTCCTTCCGGGTTAAGCCAGCAGTGTGTTAAGAAGCAGCGCGGCTTGGCGGTCATGTTTCGGAGGACGCATGTCTCGACCTTCGCGAGCCCGTTGGGGAGTTGCAGCGATGAGACAAGATCGCAAAATGGGATAAATTACCCCAAACTGTTTTTTTATTTAAACAAATATATTTATTATAATTATCAATATTTTAATATTTTATTTGGACAGGCAAGGAGGTACAGAAGGCCCGCCCATAACGTTGGCTCTGCTTACAATACATGCCTTACATTATGGTACGGTCTCA